TGACGTATCACATACATTTTCGGACTGCCTCACATCTAGGCGCTGATTTGTATTTTCTACTTGTCATCGTAAAATAAATTTCTATAAAATTTAATTGACTGAAAATACAAATTTTTGTGAAATGTAATATTTTTTTACTTTTCATAAATATTACTGCATGTACCGCATTTTCTCACCTATTAGTTTGAATATGCTTTACCAACCAGGGATTTTATTTTCTTATCGCTCTCTTTTTGAAATTCAGCAAATTTTCATATTTAATTTACAGGTTGAATAAGAAAAAGCGGATGTCAACACAGATTATTAGAGCATAAATCCTCACTATGCACCTATGCACTGCCGTTTTCTCCCAGCTATGTTATACAACTTACAGCTTGGACCTCCAATAATGCCATCTCTGAAGCAGATGTTACATCGGATCAGAGCCAAACATTGATAACTGGAGCATCATCACGTTTCGCCAACTCGTACAGCTTCGGAACGAGTACCCAGCAAGTGTACAACAGCTACTGCTTCGATGACATATTGTAGAAAAATCTACATAATTTCACAAAAAAAAACTATATAATAACAAAAAATCCGACATAATGCCACTTTTCAAGATAAGTAATACCCCTGATGCATAAAAGTTGCGATACGCAATCAAACGATTTCGAGTTTAGATAGAAGACGCCAGTTATTCCGGTAGTTCAATCTCGGGTCCAGTGGCTTCAAAACATCTGCTGGCCTCGGACTGTACTATAAGTCTGCAAACGATGGGCAAAGGCCTTTCCATAATCTCCTTTAATGCTCATAAAAATGTTATAGAAGATTTGGGAATGATGAAAGTGAAAACCTTTTGCCTTGGCCACAGAGGTTTTGAAGACGCCAGTCCTGTTGCAGTTGTCCAATTTCTGGCCGAACAGTGGCCAAAGCAAAACATCTTTCAGCCTCCGACTGTCCCATAAATGTACAATGTACTTACTGCTTACAAAAATGTATGTAATGTCAGATTTGGCAGTGAGAAAAGTGTGCACGAAATTAGTTCCACGATGGACAAGTGGACATTTCCCGTAACCAATCAAGTCAAATGTTTCTGTAGCGTTTATGGCCGGGCGAATGTATTTGATTACGAATCGCTGCTCTTCGGTTTCACCTTTCTTGTTTTCACAACTGTCACCAGTTGGTAAACAATTTTTACGCGGATCTTTAACTTCGTTACATCAGACCTCCAGTGTGAATCGGACCAGATTTGTCGTTGCTTAGATCCTCCAACATAATTATAACTGCCGGAGTCAGCATTAGAAGCGACTTGGATGCCATGCTGCTACCATTCGCATTAATTGTCGAACGCACTCTGTACTGGATGTTTTAAATTCGACCATCTCTGTTTCTAATATTGTGGAGGTTGACATCTATTCCGATACATCCGCAAGTACCACCAGTCTGAAAATATCTTAGCTACATTGCTGCCATCAATAATTATACCGTAACCATTTCCAAGGATTCCATTTGACCACATTCTCCGACCGAAGAATTCGAGGCGATTCTATAGTTACCTTCTAATACTTCATGGCTTGGTTTGCACCAACCTGAAGCTCCTATACCAACTGTCGCGCAGCAATCTCCGCGGTACTAGCTTTAAACTGCAAAAGGAGACATTTATATCGAAAGTCCGTACGTATTTTCTCTCGTATCGAAAATGTGGTTAATGCTAGGTCAGTTAAAGTGTATGATTAGTGGAAAAGTGACCAAACTTTGTAGCTATGAACTTTTTGCTTTTAACTTATGTGTTTCACTTTATTTGTTCGTATATCACGTTTTTCTTTTGTATCGGATTTTCCAATAGGGACTTGACAACTTTGAACTTTCACTTTTAACGCACCTTTAAAATAAATTCACAGTCTAGTAAAAAAATTTGAGTCTACGGGTTGGTCTAAGTCCCGAGAATATTGCTGCCGTTCAAGCTTCCGTCGGAAGCGAACAGAACACGTCGGTTCTTGGCCTGCACTCTTATAAGATCAAGTTAACTCAAGAATTAGACCCGTTCGATCACATGAACTGACTTACGCTCTCGAATTGGACTCTAGAAATGTTGCATGAAAATTATCAATTTCATAGCAAAATCATCTTCAGTGATGGGGCGCATTTTTGGCTAAACGGCTTCATCAATAAACAGAATATGCATTATTGGTCCACTTCATCCACAAAAAATAACTGTATGTCTGAAAATGGCATGACGCTAAACGGAGATCACTACATAATGTTGCAACATTATTCTTTTCGTCAATTTGATGGGCTAGACATTATTGATATGTGGTTTCAACAAGACGGTGCCACAAGCCACACAGCGGCTGAAACAATCGACATATTGAAATCAAAATTCGGTGAACGTGTTATATCGAGAAATCGTCCTGTCGAATGGCCTCCTAGATCGTGTAATTTAACACCTCTAGACTTTTTTGTGGGGCTACATTAAATCGTTGGTTTATGTCAACAAGCCGGCGTCGTTAGAGGAGCTCAGAGACAATATTGAACAAGAGATCATTGAAAATTGAGTTCAACGAATCGATCGCTGCGAACGTGCCTATGGTGGACATATGTATGAACGAGGTCGAATTCGATACATAAATGTTTTGAGTGTACCTCAATCCAAGAATAAAATTTTCGAGATGTCTCAAATGGTTTACGTTTTATTTAAAAAGAAAATTGTCAAGTCCTTAATGGAAAACTCTTTACATGTGCTTATAGTATTTCTGCTCAATTCTTACACTTAAAGTGAAAATTATAAATAGTAAAGAATATAAATTATCTTTTTGAGTAGCTCGACTCTTAGAGTTAAAATGCATCCATGCTAGGTGTGCATGTTTGATATGGTTTGTATACCCTGTCTATTAAAAACCGGAACACCGACCCACGACATCAACGCGAGTGTTCCCCAGAAATCGGTCTTGGCTGCGACGTTGTTCTTCTTACATATCAACTCAAATTTTAGTAATTATATCTAACTTTTGAGGTCAAGTTGAACTGTCTTTATATATAAATCGTTTGTCAAAAATTGGTAACTATGTACCAAATTAGAGCCCTAATATTCCTTGGAGCAAGAGGTTGAATTATTTTTTTGTGTAAACTGCAAATTTTCGCGTTTACCCAAGACGGGTTTTTTGAAACGCGTGTTTGCCAGCAAAGACGTCTCTTGTATAATAGAATTAGGGTTGGGAGTTGAACTCATTATTTGTCTCGAAGCCAATTAGAGCGTTACGCTTATATCCTCAATTTTACTAACAAGCTCGAAGTATCAACTTCAAGAAATCTGTAAACAAAAAGGATCTTGGATTATATAACTGGGATAACATCCAGCAAGCTGCTTATTTCAGCAATAATATGATCCTAACGATTCTTTTTGATTTTATCGTGTTCGTGTTCAAGATTCTTTTAATTATACGCGTCAAGGAGCTAGCTTTTTAATTTTCTTTGTAGATGGTAATTCTACTGAAAATTTGTAGTAGAATTTATTGGTTAGCGACGAAGCGTAGAGTACTTGGGCAATGGTATTCGAAACGATATCGTCGTGCAAGAAAAGCGTTGTGCAGAAAAATAGCAAAAGATTAAAATCGCTTTCTCTCTAATTTTCTGTACGTCCGGTCACGAGCATATTTTTTTACCTCCTTGAGTAACAGAAAATTTTGGTTCATGGATTGTTATCACAAAAAGTCCGGTATATCTGTCTGGCAGATTGTACAGGATGTTACAGCATGCTGTAAAAACTTTTTGCGAAATACGTAAAGATATAAGGACGTTTCACAGAAGACCTTGTGTTTAATGAGGGTCTGTGCTTTTTGCAAAAATGTGTGTCGTTTTCTTGAAGCCCCATTGATTCTGTTTAAAATGTGTTTTTTGGAGTTTTTCACTATGTCGTTTTTATCGCTAAATATAGAAACTTGATGTCACGAAGGCTGCTAATGTAAGTACTTCAGAAAATGATTTTGTACATTTTTATGTGACATCCTATAATTGGCGTGTGGCATATATTTCAATGTATCAATCTGTTGTCGAACAATGCTAGGCAATCTGTCAAAGGCGGACGAATATGAGCCGCTGTATTATGGATATTTCCGGACCCGGGTTTGTATAAACATTTCTTGTGTTGATTCTACCATCCAATTTTATTTACAACATTCTCCAACATCCTTGCATGTTGGTATCATAGTAACTCCGTATTCTCAGAAACGGGAGCACTGATTTTGATTAACATTGGAAAGTTGTAGTGTCTGCTGAGGGGCCACAATACTCGTTGTTAAGTTGGGTTGAACTCCTTTCGTTTTCACTTCTCTCGCCAATTGCGAGGAAGTTTCTAAAATGAGATGTCATGATTTTAGATGTTACATAATGTGTTCATCACAAAAAACGATGCCACTAATTTTCGTCGATCTGTCTTGCCCTTAAAGTTTGACAGTAATCAAGACGCCAACATGAAACAGTATTATAGGCTTTTTGAGTGGGCTGAAGACTAGGAAATGAGGGTTGTAGATGATTGTACGTTGCATTTTTAGTATAACTGAAAGCTGATCTTTTATTGGAAGTTTTCTGATTCCCATACTTTTGCGCACCTGTTAGACATAATAAACATACATATTTCCATACATATGCTATTGAAACATGTTGTTTCCATCTTTACAAGTACAATTGTGTGCAGGTAAAACTCATTTGGGAAGAATCTTCACAAAAACGAACATGCCTAGTCAAGTTTAGATTCCACTTGATTCATTAGGAACCTAACCCATTCTTTTTTATTATACATGTGTGTAATTACTTTTTTTCAAAGAGGAACTGATTTTTCCGACTTTCGTTTAAGCAGCTACTAGTATAACAGATTACTCCATGATATATTAAAAAAAAATAAAGAAATTATGGAAATTCGATCCAGTCTGTTGGAACTCTGTTTCAAGGGTATCTTCTGGACCAGAATTTATAAGAAATAAACGGAGCATAATCTAACTGGTGACAAAATAACGTGGAAGTACAGAGTCAATCAACTCGACGCCATTTCTTAAATTTCTGATGATTTTTAGGCATTGTCCGTGGTTTGATTATAGATTTATGATTAAATTCTTGATATCTGCATGTGTTCTCACATTTGCTTAAATATTTTTGCAGGTAATAAAGAAAGCATGTGAGATCAACCTGATAGGCCCAACGAGAGTTACTCAAATCATGCTGCCGTTGGTGCGAAGAGCTAAGGGAAGGGTAGTGTTCGTCACATCCGGCTTGTGCAGAGTTGCTTCTCCAGTTAGAGGCATCCATTGTGCTATGCTAGCCGCAGTTGAGGCTGAATCTGAATGTCTGAGGAAGGAGTTGAACAGTAGAGGTAATACAATCACGATCGCATTTAGGAAGTAATACACTATAATCCTTCGTGTCAGCAACTATCTGAATGAACAATGCCTTCTTCTATCCATTATTGTCCGTAGGATCTTAGCTCTTTGTTAAAGTCGGTAGGTCTGTAAGGTCTGGTCGCCCAAAGTCAGGGAGAAGGAAAGAAAGAAAGGAAGGAAGGAGGGAGAGCAAAGAAGAAAGAAGTGCCTCAACTTGAGGGGTACCTTGGCATTGCAAACTAGTATTAGGGAAGTTTAAATTGATCCAAAAATTAATTATAGATTGGTTATTGAATGAAAATTATAATTTTAGACCGGAAGTAGCACGATTTAATTTTGTTCACAGTGCGAACCGCGACCTTGTGTGCGCTTATTGTTGTAGGTCCCTCAGATAAACAAGCGATTTTAAGGTCTCTGTGAAGTGATTGTGCAAGGAAGGTTCTGTTTTGCAAAACCTGCAGAATACGCAAATGCGTTTTGGCGAGAAAACACCAAGCCTCACTTGCGTAAGTGATCGCTGGTCTAATAACTATCTTGTATAGCCGAACTTCGTTGATCAAACTTAATTTTGAGGTTCTACATACATAGGGTAGTGTGACCGAAACGTGATTTGGAATCTTGTTTTCAACCGTGGTTTTTTAAGATACATGGCAGCATTTGTCCATGGTATCCGATTCCCATCTACCGAAACCTCGGCTAGGGATCCGCGACATTTTTTGGTTCAATAAATAACCTGCGCTTTCGAATGATTAATTTTATTCAGCCACCATTCTGCCCACTCTAGTAGTTCGTCCAACGCACTGTGCAACTCATCGTGAACCAGGTCACCAGTACACGGCTGGACGACACGTGCAGTTTTGTCAGCGTAGAGGTAGACTTCACAGTTGCTGGGGCAAGGGACGTCGTGGATAAAAAGCGAAGATTATTTGTATTAATTTATAGAGGAGGCCCGCGCGCCACACCTTGTCAAAGGCTTTTGTGACATCCAAAAGCAAGGTGCCAATACTTATGTTGAGGTTGAATCCTCTGGTTGCATGTTCCACCAGCCTGACTGCCTGTAGCTCGGTGCTATGCTCGAACGGAAAGCCGAATTGATCAGGAATCACATGGTGAGCTGAAGAAAAATTCGCAAGGTGACGATAAATCACCTTTTCGGCGAGTTTAGAAGGAGCTGACAGCAGACCAATGGCACCTTGATCCTGAGGAAGTCTTCCTCTGTGTAGGGAAGTGCAGGGTTCTGAGTATCGCATTGATTATTATCTCGAAATATGTCAGATCTTTCGGCGAGAGCAGCTTCAGCGCCTTGTTGGTGATTTGATCCTCCCCAGGTACTTTACGTACCTTGAGGTCTTTAATAAGGTCTAGGAGCTCCGAGGAAGTGCAATGCGGAACCTCGAAGGGTGCCGCTGATGTGCTATGCGAAGCCTCAGACGAATCTTCTGAAGAAGAGTCATCTGAGGAGGATTAAGTGCCTCCGCTAACTTCGTTGGCCCTAATATATCTCCTGACGGATCTTACGATATGTTGTTCCTCGTCGAGGTCATTATCAAAATCATAGTTGGGAGAGAACTGTTTTTCCACGACGTCAGCTAAAACCTCGACCTTACCCTCTCTTCTAAGGACTATACCTTCAGGTCCGTGGATGTGCGAGACTCCTTTTTTGATGTTTCAGAGGCTCCAGCAAGGGTATTAGGTAACTTGCGAAGTGACATTATGTCGGGTTTTTTTGACATTATGTAGGTCTTTTATGACATTATGTAGGTTTTCCTACAAGGCGTCAACTTGGAACTAGATATCGTTCACTTCATGCTCACTTGTAGCAAGCGCGGAATGAACTATTTGCACACTAGCCTACCTAGTCAACTATTTGTCATTTTATCGATTTTTTTACATTATATAGGTTTTTTATGTAATAAACCTGCCGACCATTTGCAGAAAAATGATCTTGTAGCGAGTTAGAATTGGAGGTTGTGGCTTCTGGGGGAGGACAGGGTAAACATCCTGAATTAGACATATTCCACACAACATAGATTTTCTCGTACATTTGCCGTTAAAAGTTAGGATTAAAAAGAAATGTTTTAGGCGTACATGCTTCTGCTCTCTGGATTCACCGATGGGCGAGCCGGTCTCGATAATGGTTTTGTCATTACTACCGCGGTGTCACGCTACCGCGTCTTGTTGTGGGGTCTGGTATGGGGTTGCCGAGGTTGCCAGATGAACGGCTCTATCTGTAGGGCATAGAGATAGTTGTCTACGGAATAATTCTACGGACATATGTGACTGAGTTGTTCCATTCAGTTCCTCTGTTATACATGTTCGTAACTAAGCTTTTTCTCAAAAGATATAACTTGCACTGAACCTAATCCTTCATGAACCGATGACGGCGTTGCGTGGGAGGTACAGAGTCAGACCATTTGACGTCATTATTTTAAGAATGTCGTGCTATTTTCTATATTGCATGCTACTTTCAGAAGTAAGTTACAAATCGTCACTTATGTACTAACACGGCGTAACCCAAAATTGACAACTTTTTCGATTTCCTAGGGAAGGCCAGCATATCATATAATTTTCCATACATCTGGCCTCTAACTGAAGCGACATATGCTTAATATACTGTTTACTGATGACGTTCGGTCACCACGGTGGCCTTTTTCAAATACGTGCATATCTTAATATTTTGAATTAGGCGACGAAATTAGAATTTTACCTGTCTGAAACAATCTTTTCGCTAAAAACGACAATTATCTATATTTTATGTTCGCTCCTTCTATTAAGTTTTATTCATTAACACGTAGCGTCCTGTATGGTGTCCTATAGCTTATCTTTAAACACTTTCAGGTGTCGACGTCGTGGTAGTAGCTCCTGGTGAATTCACCTCAGGATCATCATGGTTATCAGATGAAGCCATCCTGCAACAAGCCAAAGAAATGTGGAAGCAGCTGTGTCAAGAGCAGAGAACTGAATATGGAGAAGACTACTTTGAGAAGGCCATAAGGAGTTTAGAAAAGTATACAAAAAGCCAGGTAGGTAATATAATTGCGACTTAGAACAGATTATTGTACGCATCTAACAAATTCTTACATTCAGGTATTTAAGAACATATTTTATGTATTTTAAGCTTCAATAATAGATTTTCTTTTTCATTTTAGTACTTCTGTGTGAAAAATGTACCCATTTCCGAATAAGTATTTCTATGATTCACTGGTCGCAACACTTTCTCTTAAAGTTCTATAGTGAAACACACTAAATCACAAAACATATAGTATATAATAAAGGTGTTGTTCCACTGGTTCACATTAAAAACAAAAGTGTAAGTAAACAAATAAACAATTATAACGAGTTCTTTCGATGAGAAAGCATTAAAGCAACACTTTGACTTTTAGATATGTTTTGTGTCTAAGTACGTTCTATTATAGATTTGAAGTGTTGCGAACGTGAGTTCATATAAAAAACTGAAACCAAATATTCGGAAATGGGTGAACTATGGACAAAACTGTGAGAATTGTGCAAAGTGGACTTTTAAAAAGTCATCAAGCACTGAAATGAAGAAAAACTGTTGCCGATAGCTTAAAATACATGTATTCTAATATACTAAAACCCAAAAATGTTATAGTTCAATCAAATTTCATGCCTATATACCCTCTTTTGGAAATATATCAAAGTTATTTTAATTAACCTTACCCAGCTTTACAAATTCTGCCAACATCCCTGAATAAGGCAAACAAAACCTTACGAAACCTTACGAAGAAGTCCCTCCCTAATCTTCGAAGCTAACGCTAAAGGTCATAACGAAGCAGCAAATTAATAGCACTTAAAACTCCCTAAGAGTCTTACAAACTGTCAAATACCTTCAAACATAATTTTCAGTAGCTTAATCATAAGTGATGCCATGTAATGCAAATTGGACTAACTGGACTTCTTAGTAAGGAAATCTGTGAAAGTAAATGTCACGGACTGACCAAAATGGTAACTTGACTGCAATGGTCCTTCACCTAATTCCCTGAATAAAAGGAAAAAACTGAGGTTCTATCAAATGTCCCGTCTAGATAAGAGTGCATTTTTTACAATAGTACAAAAAAGAACTTTCTAAATTCAGTTAAAAGCTAGTTATCGGCAAAAAGTCTCTATGTTACGAACAAACCCAAGAACATCACGGACTGACTTCTTTGGTGGACGGTTTGTCCGTGACGCAAAAGCTAGCACCTGTTATCGTTATTTTTTATCTGAATAATGTTGTCATTCGAAGTTAATATAAACACCAAAAGGACATATATATTTCTAGTATTTTGTAACTGTTTGGGAGGTGGTACTTAGAACAAAGCATGAAATGTTTCTGGTAATCTTGCAGGATGCTACTTAACGCCCTGAACTCAAAGTTCTGTAACATATCCATTTTCGTAATAATGTCATTATCAATTAAGAAACTTCGTATCTTTTAAAGGTGATACGGATATTTTTGATTAATTATAACGAAAATATAAACTACAAGCCCTATAACTTTTTTAATAAATCGCCCCATGTGAAATGCGTGTTCTAGTTAAGTATAAGTCAAGATATGGAATTCTACCTTTGAGGCTTCCTGCGCAAAGGCACCTGGTTACGCAGTCGATGTAGAGTAAGTTACTCACATAAAAAAGCATATACGGAAAGCTTCAGTTTCTGACTATCAGGTTGACACTACCGTGGAATTGTTGATTAGTTGCATACAATTTTTTTGACTGACGTTCGATGTAGTTCTTTTCACGGTTTTTGGCGGTTCAAAGTAAAACTACAGGATTTGCCTTCATACATCCATCTCTCTTATACATACACATGCAACCTATCCATGTGTGTAAACGTTTGTTCAGTAAGCTCAAAGTCGTACGTTTTTTAGTTGTGTGCCTCCGTCTCGAAAACTTTGTCGTTACGAATGAGTGCCCTTCAATCATATTTGTCAGAGTGACAAATAACTTGACATCGGCGTGTAGTTGAAGTTGTCCTGTTATCAATCTTCAATATAAAATTGTACAATGCCCGGAAATACGATCAATGGAGAAGGCCGACAGCTTGTGCTGAATTCATTAGAGTATTTCCAGGAAGAGGATGAAAACAGCGGTCCCCTGTTACCCACTTCATGCGTACTAGAGAGAGTAGCAGATGCGCTGAAGATTAGTCTGCCCCCATGGTATGGAGACTCGATCTGTTTACTCATTTCATATGGCGTTGATAGCGTATCCGCCAAGGACGGCGACTTCAGCTATAGTATGCTGTGAACTCGTCCTGTATAAAATTATAAGCACAGTGATAAAAATCCGTTTTTAATTTTCAAACTACAGTCTATGATCTGTTGACGGCCATAAAAGCTTTTCTCTAACTAAGAGCTTTTGCTGCCTTCAACTTATATCTTCCTTTTTCTACCCACTACCGCCATTTTGCGACCCTAGCAAGTTCGTATTTGCTGGGAAATTAGTCCACTCGGACGACAAACGAGACATTTGGAGGAAAGTGTGGGAAAGTCGAAGTCGGATTGTGTACCCTGGACCGTGATATTGCCCATTAGCTACTCTTGTTTACATCAGAGTACCTGTAATTGATTCCCAGACGTCCCTCGGTATTATTTTCCCTATTTTGCTCGCTTTCCTTTTGCTAAAGCGTACGTCTTTGACACTTTTCGGTGTATCAATGTCGACCCTTCTCACTTTTATCAGGACTAATTGGATTCCATAGGATGTGAGCCGTTAAATTTATTCAGAAGGTACGCAATAGGCAGTTCAAGGTCAATGTTGTACAGTGAGAACAGCCAAATGGAATAAAATGTATTGTTAGATTCAAATCTCTAGGCAACTTTTTTAGACCAGTATAGTTATGGCAGAACAGCTTGCGGTCCTTGTTTACTCAAAATTTAGCAGAAGGGAGAGTTAGAAAGTAAATGTGGGCCTTTATGCATAGCTGAAAAGCTCATACTAAACAAAATTCAGGGAAGACCATTACATTTATTTAGCATAGTTATTACGATTATCACTTAGTGATAGCATAATTATTTAACCTAAATGGGCGGAATACTGCGCAGACTAATCTTCAGCGCATCTGCTACTCTCTCCTGTACGCATGATGTGGCTGTTTTCATTCTCTTCCTGGGAATACTCTAATGAATTTAGCACAAGTTATCGGCCTTCTCCATTGATCGTATTTCCGGGCATTGTACAATTTTATATTGAAGATTGATAACAGGACATCCCAAATTGCACGCCGATGACAGGTAAGTTGTGACTCTGACAAATATGATTGAAGAGCACTCTTACGTCACGACAAAGTTTTCGAGATGGAGACACACAACTAAAAAACGTATGTCTTTGAGATTACCGAACAAACGTTCGCACACAGGGGTAGGTTGCATGTGTATGTTAAGACCAACCCTAGCAGAAATTTATAAGATCGATATCATATTAATTTGAACTAGCCACAATTTTTTCTAAGGAAAATTGTTAACTGAAACTATTTTAGTTTAAGGAATTTTGCACTGCTGTGCAATATCTGTGATTTTATTAAGTTATTCTAAGTGCAGGTTATGAAAACTGATTGAAATACATCGCTGGATCCAAAACTTTTAATCACTCATAGAGCCTTTTCACTTACCTAGTTTCTCAAATTAGCAGGTTTTGGAATTGTAATTTTCATATTTATAGAGGTATCGAAATTTGATTTTTTGAGGTAAAAAATAATCATAAATGCATATATATGATCGAAAAACAATATTTTTCGAAATTTCCGTTTTTTGCGTTTTTATTAATCAACCTAAATTGAGCACCAATGCCTTAGGAATTAAAATAACTAAGGGTGTGAAAATTCTATTTATTTTAGTGGTGTATGCTTGATTCAAGGTAAAATTGTGTCAACTTGCCAAAAAGGTATGAAACAGAGTTCTGTGTTGACTTACATCCTTCTGCTTTTGTCTTCTTTGTGGTAGAAATAACTCTCAGTTATTTTGACTTATTTACCTCACCTTGTAGAAATTGCTCTAGTATAGCGGATTCTCTGAAATCTGATTAATGGTCTTGTCGAGTCACTGTTGAAGTACACCAAAAATACTAATATCGCCTTCCCAATTGCCAAATTTTCAAATCTTTGGACGTTCTAAGAAGCTTCCCATCGTAAATACCAGTAGAAATACTCGTAGAAAAATTTCTTTAGCGCATAGTAGAAAACGCAAAACAACTAGTACCCCGTTTTACCAGAATTATGACAAAAGCAGGAGCTAAAATGTGAAGAGGCTAGTATTAAGGATGCTTTTTAAAGAATAAATACGTTCAGTTGTAATAATTATTGGAACTACCGGTTAGTATAAGGCTTTTGTTTCACCTAAATCGGCTTGTATGGCTATGTGATAAGGAATATTCCTGTTTATGCTGATGTTTTACATCTTTCTGGAAATCTGTCAAGTTTTCCTAGTAACTTTTACGCTCAATGTACTCGTATTAACAAACTTAGTGCTAGGCATAAAAGAGGCCAAAGACGAAGTCTGACGGGTTGATCTGGTAAGTATAACTCGTGACGTCATCAAGAAAAAAGCGCAGAAAAGTATTACTTGTTATGGGGTCTGTAGACTACAGCAGCCACTCTTTTACACGAAGTACCCGTAAAACTAATTATTTTGATAGTAAGTTTCCCCCTTTGTACAGAAATTCTCACAAGTTAGACCCGTGATTCACACTTTAGGCCACAGTTTTCGGAGCATTTTTCTTCATGGTACCGATGTGGAGCCAAAATGTACAAAAATCATCTCAGAAATAGAACTTTGCATGTTTGGGAGAATTTTCGGTTCTAGGCAGGTGGATAAGTCCACTCAGATGCGGAACATATATCGCATTCAAATGAGTCTACACATCTCAATGGTTCCCATAATAAAACAACGTGTTCATTACTTCATTGTTTACATGAAAACAAGAAGTACATAACAACAATTTTTTCGGAGTTCTTGTATTCAACTGCAACACTCGGTAAAGTATGAAACTGCGAACCTCCGCTATAAACTTCTTCACTAGGA